ACCAGGTCTTGCTCTGTCGCTCAGGCTGGAGTGCAGTAGCGTCATCCCAGCTCACAGCCCCAACCTCCTGGGCTCAAGCAATCCTCCTGCCTTCGCCTCCCGAGTAGCTGGGGCCATAGGCACATGCACCGTCATGCCTGGCTAATTCATTTTTTTTTTTGTTTTTTTGTAGAGACAGGGTCCCACTATGTTGCCCAGGCTGGTCTCAAATTCCTGGGCTCAAGTGATCCTCCTGTCCCGGCCTCCCAAAGTGCAGGGATTACAGGCATGAGCCACCGTGGCCAGCTGCAAGAATAAATCTTGTGTCAGTATCAATGGGTCCGAGGGGTAAGACTGTCTCTTTCTAAGTCCTGGCCTCCCCCCGATGCCTGGGCCGGGCTGGGGACTTGCAGCAGGAGCTTCTGGGGGCAGAGTCTGAGGACCTGGCGGCCTCACTGGGGAGGAGAGCGAGCAGGGGCAGGGAAATGAAGGGGGTTCTCTGGGGAGGGGATGGGGGCCTGCGTTCATAGTGGGGATTAACAAGGCAGAAGAGGAGAGGGGCCCGAGAGGGGTCCCACAGCAAGGCTGCTCTCGGCTGGGCGCCACAGCTCACACCTGGAACCCCAGCACTTTGGGAGGCTGAAGCAGGGGGACGGCGTGAGCCCAGGAGTTGGAGACCAGCCTGGGCAACACAGTGAGACCTCAGCTTATCTCTTTTTTTTGGAGACGGAGTCTCACTCTGTTTCTCAGGCTGGAGTGCAGTTGCACCATCTCGGCTCACTGCAGCTTCCGCCTCCCGGGTTCAAGCGATTCTCCGGCCTCAGCCTCCCGAGCAGCTGGGATTACAGGTGTGAGCCACCGTGCCCGGCCCCTCGCGACACCAGTTTAACAACAACTGAAATAATACAACATTTAAAAAGCCTGTCCTCTAACTGTGCTGTGAGCATTTTAAGTGCCCTGTCAGTATGTAGAGACCAGTGGGGAAGCTTCCCCGTCTCTCCAGGCCCCACAACAATGGAGTTTCCAGCTTTGTGAGGACGTCCGGGACTGGCGAGCGCTCAGCCCGTCCATCGGCCACCACAAGGCTTCACGTTGGTGCCTCAGAGTGAGGTTTTGTGGGTTTCAGAGAGGAAGAGGCAGCAGGCAGCCCCATGGCCGCCTTTTGCCCTGCTGCCCCCTCACCCCACTGCCCTCCTCATCCCGCTGCCCGCCTCGGCCGCCACCCCACTCACCTCGCATGTACTCGATGGTGCCGTCCAGCACAAGGTTGAGGAGTGGGTCGAAGCCCTTCAGGATTCCACTGGCTTGGAGAAATCACCGGGGGAGAGAAATGAGAAGGCATGAGATCCATCTTGGGTACAGGGCCTGCCCCAGCGTGGCCCAGGCATGGGGCTCACTGCTTCAGGGATGGAGGCCTGAGGGTGGGGGAGGGCTCCCGGGAGGGGCTGGTGACAGGCGCCTCCAGAGTGACCCCCACCATGGGCAGCCGACTGTGTCTGCAGGGGGCTAGAGGACAAACACTTCTGGCCGTGTGGGCCACAGGGTGCCGGTCACAGCTGCTGGCTCGGGCTGCCTGGGCGGAAGCAGCTTCGGTGATGAGTCCACGTGTGGCTGAGCCGTGGCCAGTCAGCTCGACACACAGGCACTGAAACGGGAATTTCATATCATTTCCACATTGTGAGACAGTCTTCTTTTGATCCCTTTCCAGCTATTTAAAAGTCATAAAAACAATTCTCGGCTCAAAAGCAGTAGCAAAACAGGCCGCGGCACATGCATGCGGTGGAACCACCAGCCGGGAAGAGGAGCGAGGCTGGCGCAGGCCGCGGTGCGGATGTGCCTGAGGACGCGCCTGAGGATGTCACGCTCGGTGAGAGACGCCAGCCACAGAAGGCCGGCAGCGTGTGATCCCGTTTCTATGAAAGGTCCAGGAGAGGCCAATCCACAGAGACAGGGAGGGGATGTGTGGGTGCTGGGGAGGCGACAGGCAGTGACAGCTGATGGGGACAGGGCTTCCTCTAGGGGAGACAGAGTGCTCTGCTGTGACAGCGGTGATGACTGCGCTGCCTGACCTGTGCTGGGTCCCTCAGTGAGCTCACGGAATACAGAAGAACAAATCCCAGCCCTGCAGCTCAGGGCTTGCGGGGAGCGGGCAAGAGAGATGCTCTGAGACCCGGGTGCAAAGGCTTTGGGGGCTGAGGCAGTTGCTGTGGCTTCTCTCTCCACGCTGCCTGCACCACCCCTCAAGCCTCGCCGCCTTAGGTCACAACTTGCCACCTTGGGTTAGGGCTCTCTGACCCGGTGGTGACCTCTGCCATCTGATCCTGCTCCGCAGTGTCTGGTGACACTGAGAAGGGTGAAGGGGGAGCTGCGTGTCCTCAGCAGAGGCCAGCCCACCCTCCCTGTCCGGGACTCCCCTCCTCTCCCCCGCAGGCTCCTCCAGCCCAGGCCCAGGAGCGGTTCCGCCTCTGCGCTCACTGAGGGGCGTCCCACAGCCACCCCCTCCCTACCCTCCTTCTTACCCCTGTCATCTTTCAGGTGCTTCCTCCAGACACCAACCCACACCCCTTAGGGTGCTGCCCTCTGCATGCCCCCCACCAATCTCAGGAAGCAGGCACCCCAGGCATTATTCTGCCCACCTATCTTCTCCCAAGGCAGGGCTGTGAGCCTGTCCATGGCCGTTCTGCGCTGTGAACTACGACCAGAGGCGAACGTGGCCCGCCGCTCATCTCTGCATGCCAAAGTTTCACTGGCCCACTACCACACTCGCCCGCTCAGGCACTGACCAGGGCGGCTCTCCTGCTCTGCGGGCATAGCTCACTGGTTGTGACAAGAGACCATCTGGGCTGCAAAGCTGAAGATATTTGCTGTCTGGCCTTCTACAGAGAAGGTCTGCCCGCCTGCATACAGGCTTTAGCTCCTACCTCCACGGCTCCCTCTCTCTGCGCTCAAGTCCCTCCCCTGCAAAATGAAACTCGTCACCTATGAGATGGGGTCAGACGCAGCGGTTCAGGTCCTTGGCACCAGCCTGACCAGTGAGCCAGCCCTCCTCACGGGGACAGATGTGAGCACTGAGGTAGGTAGGTCTCTAACCAAGGTTCCCCTCCCCGGGGTGTGGGCTCGGGCCTGTGACTCTGAGGGGACATGACGTCACTCCTGCACTTAGGTTATGCAGCTGTTTAAGCCCCTGAACCAGCCGACTTTGAGCCAATCTAGAGGGAAACACCCTGGGTGAGCCTGACCGTATCAGGTGAGTCCTTCAGGGAGCAAACCCTTTCTCTGTTGTGTGTGTGCGTGTGTGTGATTTATTTATTTTTAGACGGAGTCTCGCTCTGTCTCCCAGACTGGAGTGCAGTGGCGCGATCTCAGCTCACTGCAACCTCTGCCTCCTGGGTTCAAGAGATTCTCCTGCCTCAGCCTCCTGAGTTGCTGGGATTACAGGTGTGCGCCACCACGCCCAGCTAATTTTTTTGTATTTTTCGTAGAGATGGGGTTTCACGAAACCCCATGTTAGTCAGGCTGGTCTCGATCTCCTGATCGTATGATCTGCCTGCCTCAGCCTCCCAAAGTGCTGGGGTTACAGGCCTGAGTCCCTGCGCCCCGCCAAGAGCTGTAGCATGCATCACCAGCCCACTGCCCATGCGAATGCTTCCTGCCCTCTGAGAGCTCGCCCTGTCTTCACTAGATTCCATGGAAGAGTCGCAGGCAGAGGCAAGCATCAGGTTAATATGCACGAAACCGCAAACGGTGACAGGTGCTACCAGGATCCTAGAACGATGGGGGGCTTGACGCCAGGGTCAGGGAGGGCTTCCCAGAGCAAGCACCTGTGGAACTTGTGCTTTTGCCGCCCTTTGCAGTCATAATCAGAAGTGTGGATTCGGATTTTACTCCAAAACAACGGGGAGCCTCAGAGGTTTTCAGCAGAGAGCAAGAAGCCTCCATTTCTTTTTCATTAGGTGCCTCTGGCCGCTGAGTGGAGACTGACCTTAGTAGCTGTGATTCCCAATCACAGCTTGGGGGTCGGGGGGCGATCCTGTCCCGAGAGAACACTAAGCAATGTCTGAGGCTATTTAGGTTGTCACAACTTGGTGGAGGCCAGGGATGCTGCTCAGCACCCTGCAGCGCCCCAGGACGGCCCCACTCCAGAGAATCCGGCCCCAAATGTGTCCACACTGCTGTGCGGGAGAGACCTTGACTTAGAGGGAGGAAGAGGAGAAGCCGGGAGATCTGTGGGGATCTGGGGCAGTCCTTGGACACACAGGACTGCTCTGGAGGCCAAGCCGGAAATCCCAATACCGGCTGCGCCACTGTGACTTTGGGTTACGTTTGTTTCCCGCTCCTTGCCCCAGTTTCCCCGCCTGCAAAATGGCCATACCAGTTCCTACCTCCCGGCGTAATTTGGAAGCCTGCACAAGGTAGTCGGCGTCAAGCGTGTAAAGAGGCGCCTCTACGGCAGCTCACGCCTGTCATCCCAGCACTTTGGGAGGCCGAGACGGGCGAATCACTTGAGGTCAGAAGTTTGAGACCAGTCTGGCCAACATGGTGAAACCCCGTCTCTACTAGAAATACAAAAATTAGCCAGGAGTGGTGGCGCCTGTAGCCTCAGCCACGCAGGAGGCTGAGGCAGGAGAATCGCTCGAACCCGGGAGGCGGAGGTTGCAGTGAGCTGAGATCGCACCATTGCACTCCAGACTGGGCGACGGAGCGAGACTGCGTCTCAAAATAAATACATAAATAAAAATAAATAAAAGAGGCGACTCTGCATGCATCCTCATCACCTCTGTTGCTGAGTTTATTTTAAAATTTTAAAGGGGGGGTGCCAACGGCGGGAGCCGCCTCACCTTCGCGTCCTCCCTGAAACTTCACCCGGATCGTCTTGTCGATGTACTTGGACAAGTCCAAGATGCTCTCCTTTTTCTTCTTCTCCTTATCCTGCGGGGAAAGCAGAGCGCATGAGGCCTGGAGCGCGGCCCGAGCCCCACGCCCCCCGGCTCCGGATTCCGCCGCGCGCTCACCGCCATCTTGTCGCGCCGTGCGGCTCTTCGCAGACACCGCCCCGTGCCCTTTGACCCCCCCCACGCGCATGCGCGGCGCATGCGTGGCCCGGGGTCTCGGGGCGTTGCTGGGAAACATCTGCCGACGGTTGCGGTGGGCACCGGCCGACATGGCGGCCGTGGCGGCGGCTGCGCTGGCGCGGCTTGTGGCGGCCTTTCTGCTCCTCGCGGCCCAGGTGAGCGCGGCACCGGTCCCGACGGCACCGCAGGCTGCGGCCCTTCGGCCTCTCGGCCCCGAGGCTACGCGCAGGAACGACCCCTCTTGGCCCGTCTTGGGGGTCCAGCCTCGGGGATCCGCGATCCCCTCGTTGTCGGCCGGCGGTGCCCGGGCCCGGCCGTGACCTTGCGGGGCTGTCCCCGGCTTCTCTCCCTTCCCCGCCTCGGAGGCCCTCCGCCGCTGCAGCGCCCCTCACTTCCCACCGGGCCTGAAGTTTGTGCCCCCTCCATCTCCCGGTTCTGCTTGTCCGTTTCGGCGTCTCCAGCCGCCGCGGGGGACGCCTCTCTCCCGCTCTGTGGCCTTGGGCAGGCGGCCGCCCACCCCGCTCCGAGCCTCAGTTTCCCTTTAGGCGGAATGGCCCGGTGCTAAGCTAACCTCACCCTAGGGGGTGCGGTGGGGGAACCCAGAGGCGTCCCGCGTGTCCCCCAGTGACTGGCCAGCATCCTGGAGCGGCCAAGAGCCCAGCCCTGCACTGGGGTCGTATCCCCGCTCCATCTTTTACTCCGTGACCTTGGACGAGGGAATTCCCTGCTTTGAGCGTCAGTTGCTCGTCTGGAGAAGGGGGGTCGACTATGGTGTGGATTCTGGAGATGCTACCCAGGGTGACCAGCGCCTAGGGCCAGCACGCCTTCCTTATGTTCATTGTGTATCCTTTGATGTAGAGTGTCAGGTTCTAGCGGGGACAGTCTACGAGATCGCACTGTCATAACTGCGTCTTTTATTTTCTTAATTCCAAATCTTCTCTCTTTCCTGAGTTTGGTGGCTCAGGGAATGGAACCCGGGGCAGCCTCACAAATGCGGCCCTTAACCTTCACTCCTCTCTCAGAGTTCTCTTAAGGTGTCGCTGCCACCGGGCTCCTTCTTAGTCTCCACTCCTCCAGCCCCACCGCCATCCCCCTGCTGTGGCTGCCTTTGTCCCCCACATCCCCAGTCCATCCTCGACACAGCAGGAGTGACCCTTTCAAAGTATGTCAGACCATGTCGCATCTGGATGAACGGGCTGTCCAGTTGTGACCTGGCGCCAGGGAAGCCTGCAGCTCATTGCAGGAGCTTCGTTGTCTAGTCTTTTCTCTTACCCTGAAACGCCCGTGGTCTCTGCAAGGCTGGAGGGCCCCCTCAGAAGCTTTCTGCGAACCGCACCTCCACCCCCTGTCAGCCCCCTGGACTCCCCCCATTCTGCGGCCAGGGACCTAGAGACCCCAGACATTTGGAAGGAGGAGGAAAGCCAAAGGTGGAAGAAAGATCACAGAACGCTGTGGAGGGAGGGACTCAGTTTGCCTGGGAAGGCTTTTCCGAAGCAAGTGTTTTTTTTTGTTTGTTTGTTTGTTTGTTTTTTTGAGACGGAGTCTTGCTCTGTCTCCCAGGCTGGAGTGCAGTGGCGTGATCTCAGCTCACTGCAACCTCTACCTCCTGGTTCAAGGAATTCTCCCACCTCAGTCTCTCGAATAGCTGGGATTACAGGTGCACGCCACCACACCTGGCTTTTTTTTTTTTTTTTTAAGTAGAGATGAGGTTTAACCACTTTGGTCAGGCCGGTCTCAAACTTCTGACCTCAGGTGATCCACCTACCTCGGCCTCCCAAAGTATAGGGATGACAGGCGTGAGCCACCATGCCCAGCCCTGAAGTAGGTGTTCTGAGCCATGAGTAGGAGTTTGCCGGGTCGGCAGGAGGGGAAGGGTGTTGGAAGCACCAGAAGCAGCATGAGCGGGGGCTGGGAGGTGTGAGAGCTAGCGGGTTATTTGGGGTTGGCAAGGGGTGGGCTGTGGCTGGAGTCTAGGGTGGAACAATGCTGAAAGGGAGAATTTACATCCTGAAAGATGTCACCACCAAGGAGGTCCTGGGGGGTGGGCTGTGGATGGACGCTGGAGCAGGGGCACAGAGGAGGGGGGAGTGGTGCGAATGGCCCCAGGCAGAGAGTGAAGGCAGAGCATTTGGCCTCTTAGGCTGGATGACAGGCCGCCTGGTGGAAACCAGGTTGTGGAAGGCTCTCTGTGCTGGGGTGCGTGGACTTTAACCTGGGGGGGCTGAGGAGTGTGAGCTTTATCTGGAAGGTGGGGAGTCAAAGGATGTGTCAGAGGGACATGAGAGAGCAGGTGCTCCTGGCTTTCCCAGAACCCCGGTTGTAAATACACCCTGAGAGGCCTGTCCCTGTTGGGGGGTGGTGCTTCGCGGCAGTGGAAATTTGAGTCCGATTGCCCAGAATGAGACTAGCTCTCTGGGCAGAAGCCTGCTTGGTGACAGTCCTCGACTCGCTTGCTACCATTCTGTGACCCCGAGCAAGGAAGTGACCTCCCCAGTGAGACACCTCCCCTCCCCCACCCCATGGAGCCCATTCCTCAGCAGATCTCAGCTGGAGCTGGTGGCCCTGGCTGGACCCGGCCTGGCTCCTGGAACTCCTGAGTTCCCAGAAGGGAGGCTCTTCCGGCTTGGACTCACTGGCCTGTTTCAAAGGCTCTTGACATGGATGCTTTCACAGTCACTTCAAAGCAGGGTTTCTAAGCCTAGAAGTTTCTAAACAAGTGTGCAGTGGCGAAGCATCTGTGCTGCGATTTGTGAAGGATTTGGAGGTCAAGGCCTGGGCTTTGAGCCTGTCCTTGTAGCCCGAGCTTTTTCTGCTCCTCCAAATTTCGGCGGGCCTGACTAAAACTCAGGGCCCTCAGAGCTGTGGCCGTTGGACTAATTGTTCCCAGTCTCTTTTTCTTTTTTTTTTTTTTTTGAGACAGAGTCTTGCTCTGTCGCCCCGGCTGGAGTGCAGTGGCCGGATCTCAGCTCACTGCAAGCTCCGTCTCCCGGGTTCACGCCATTCTCCTGCCTCAGCCTCCAGAGTAAGTGGGACTACAGGCGCCCGCCACCTGGCCCGGCTAGTTTTTTGTATTTTTTAGTAGAGACGGGGTTTCACCGTGTTAGCCAGGATGGTCTCGATCTCCTGACCTCGTGATCCTCCCGTCTTGGCCTCCCGAAGTGCTGGGATTACAGGCTTGAGCCACCGCGCCCAGCCAAGTTCCCAGTTTCTTTAACTCAGCAGATGAGGAAACTTCCTGGTGAGATGCCGCTGCGTTCTCTGGCCTTTGATAGAAGCATAGGCTTGTTTTTTTAACAGAAAACCAGTTTTGAGAATTGTGGAGAGGAAAATGCATGAATGTGCTTTTGTGCTTTTAAATGACCCTTTTAGAGAGAAGCAGAGAAGCAGTTCTGTCAGTTCCCATTTTACACAAAAGACACTTTTCACCAAAGTCCCTGATCCCATAGAACAGAGCTTGGCAGGTGTTTTCTGGGAAGGGCTAGACAGTAGTTTTGCTGGGCTCTGTGGCCCACGTGGCCCGTGGTGCGGATGCTTGGTTTCTCCTATTGTACCTCCAGAGCCAGAGACTCTTCCTTAGGAATGGGCTTGGCTGTGTTCCAATAAAACTTTATTTACAAACACAGACGGTGGGCCGGACTATGGATTCTTGGCCTCTGCCGAGACCCATAACATCCCTCCTGGAGTAGGTGCGAGGGGTTCTGAACACTGTGGGACTGTGTTGGAAGGGGCACCCTCCGGGCTCGGCACCGGGGCCAGACTAAGGGTTGCTCTCAGGGAAGGCAGTCTGGTGGGCAGAACTGGAAAGAAAGGGCTCCTGACTCTGCCTCGGCTCTGGGGGAGGTCACATGGGAGGTGCTTGGAGTTGGGCTGGGGCAGGTGTGGGAAGGAAGCAGCATTAGCCAAGTGCTATGAGATCCCCAGTCGATTGTGGGGACTGGGGCTCCGTGGGCTTTCACCATGCTGCCACCCCGAGGTCGCCAGGGCCTTGATCAAGATGCTCCCAGACCAGGCCGGAGCCCTTGTGTGATTTCAGTGAGGGCCCGGCTGTTGGAGAGCCAGTCTGTGCCCGTGTGCTGGGGTTGGTGTCTGGCATCAGGGACCGTCGGGACCTTTAGCCAAGCCAGAGCTCCCCTTCCCCAGCCCCAGCTTGGCAGAGCTGCTTCTGCATTGTGGGCCCCTGTGGCGTTGTGGCATTGGCCTTCTCGGTGCACGGCTCGGTCCCCCTCCAGATATGTTGCCATCCTGTTCCTGATGAGGTGAATGGCTGTGGCCTGTTTGTTTCCATGGCAGGTCCCCTGGGGACCAGGGGGTGTGGCTGGCTGGCTGGGAGGTTTACAACCTGGCAGGAGCCCTGCAGCCCGGAAGGCCTGGCCCAGGAGCCTGCAGTGTGCAGAGTGCCCTGGGCACTCCTGAGAACAGGTGGGCCTAGGGCGCGGGGGTGGGTCTCCTTGGTCCCTGGCACATGGCTTTTCTCCTGGGACCCCTCCACCCTGTGCAGGCCGGGCTCCCCTGGGGGCCCACACTGAGGGTCTGCAGTGTGACGCAGCAGCTGGGACCTGGGCCCCGTCCCTGTGGGACCCTCTGGTGGCTGGTGTCCTCACGAGATGGAGATGTCCTTGTCAGCTGCTGGGTGGGGGCCCTGGGCAGGGGAGCAGGAGGAAGGTGGGGATGGTAGGTGTGGGTGGCTGGACTGGACTGGACTCTGCTGGGAGAACCGTGGCTCTGCTTAGGCCAGAGCCCCTCAGTGTCTGCAGTGGTCCCCGCGGTGGGAAGTGTGGTGAGCAGCACCAGCTTCCTGCATGTGGAATTGCGTCTTTCCTCATAGCTCCATCCTACTCTGTTAAGCACTGGATTGAGGAGGCGGGGGTCAGCCCTTCTGGTCCAGGCCCGTCTACTCCGTGACCCTCCTGGGAGGCGTCCAGGACTTTAGGGCCCGGTCCTGCCCCTTACTTCATTTTGAGAGCATGGCAAGGGCCTGGGCCCGCTCTGTCCCGGTGCGGTGGGCCACCGCCCCTGCTCCTCTTGGCCGGCTTTGGCCACTCGTCCCCGTTCCATGTGAGGGGCTCCTGCCAGAGGATCCGGACCTTCTCCCTGTGGCCCTCTCTGAGCTGCTGCTGCTGCAGGCTGGAGAGCACGAACTTGAAGTCCTGACTGGCTGTTCCTTCTCCCTCCCGGGAAGGGGGAGCTGCTGTGCTGGACTCTGCTGGTTTGGGGCTTCACGGGGAACACGACGCTGTCTGTCCTGCTGGTGGCAGCGTGACCTGTGGCAAACCTCAGCCTGTCCCACTCAGGACCCAGTGCCCGTAGGCCCCTTGGCTCAGCTGCTTCCTGCTATTCTTCCAGCAGGAGCTGAGGGATGCTGGCCGACCTGGGATCCATCCCCCTGGTCTGGGACCCATTATGTGCCTGGGCCCCCTTGTGCCAGTCGACAGGCAGTGCCCATGGGGCTGTGGGTCAAAGGCCTCCCGCCCAAGCCCAGGGCCAGGTCCGCTCGGGCCCTGCCCTTCTTCCCTGCTGAGGGCTCTGCCTTCGGCTGTCCTTCTCCCACCGTGCCCACTGGTCCTGGGAGGTCCAGGAGGTGATGCCATCCCTGTTTTTTGGTGCAGAAACTCGGGAGCCACAGAGAGGTGACCTGACACACTCATGGTCACCAGCCTGGGGCCCCCTGAGGAAGGTGAGCTGGTCTGCGTCTTTGCTATAAACCATGTACCGTCACATCCCTGTCTGTCCTGTCGAGACGGGGAGGCATCCCAGACGACCTCGTGAACACGGGCGCCCTTCCTGGAGGCATCCTCGTCTCCTCGGGCCTGTTTCCCGTGGGGCGGTGTAGCCCCACGCGTCCCATGCTGTGGCTCTGATCGCCGGCCTTGTCCCGCAGGTGGCCTGTGAGTACGGCATGGTGCACGTGGTCTCCGAGGCTGGGGGCCCCAGAGGCAAAGACTACTGCATCCTCTACAATCCGCAGTGGGCCCATCTGCCGCATGACCTCAGCAAGGCGGTAAGTACCTGCCAGCTGGGTGCCGCCGCGGGGGGGAATGCGTGGGCCCCAGGGCTCTAGAGACTCATCCAGCCAGGGCTGCAGGAAAGATCCAGAGGCGAGAGGCAGGCCCTGGCCAGGTCTGGGGGACTCTTGGGTAGCCCCTAGTTCCCCTGGGCCTGCCCAACCCTGGTCATCAATGCAGGCTGTCCATAGGGCCTTGGGATGCAAACCTAGAGGCACCGGCTCAGCCTCATGTGGTGGACGAGGGTCTCTATTGCTCCATGCTGGGCTCCCCATCTGGTGGGCCCGGACAGAGGGGTCCTTGGAGGAGTGACAGCAGAGGGCACAGTGGGGTCTCGGGGACGAGACCTGTTCCTTTCACCATCTTCCCTACTGGGGCACTAACACCTGCTGCTGGGTGGGTCCCTCCCTCCCTCAGAGGCCCCACCTGGCTGTGTATGTGTGCACGTGCATGTGTGTGCGCTCCATCCTGGCAGTGGGTGTGTGCATGTGTGTGTGCATGTGTGCGTGTGTGTGTCATGCCTGCCCCCTTCTCACTGCATCCTTCAGGCCCCGCCCACTTTTCCACTGCATCCCTCAGGCCCTGCCCCCTTCTCACTGCATCCTTCAGGCGCCGCCCTCTTTTCCACTGCATCCCTGAGGCCCTGCCCCCTTTCTCACTGCATCCTTCAGGCCCCACCCTCTTTTCCACTGCATTCCTCAGGCCCTGCCTCCTTTCCCACTGTGTCCCTCAGGCCCCGCCTCCTTTCCCACTGCATCCTTTAGGCCCCACCTCCTTTCCCACTGAGTCCCTCAGGCCCCGCCTCCTTTCCCACTGAGTCCCTCAGGTCCTGCCTCCTTTCCCACTGCACCCCTCAAGCCCCGCCTCCTTTCCCACTGCATTGCTCAGGCCCCACCTCTCCTGCTGAGTCCTTCAGGCCCCGCCTCCTTTCCCACTGTGTCCCTCAGACCCTGCCTCCCGCAGGCTCCACCTCCTTTCCCACTGCTTCCCTCAGGCCCCGCATCCTTTCCCACTGTGTCCCGCCCCCTCCTGGATCCCTCGAGGCCTGTCGGCCAAGAGGTGCTAGCGTCTTCCTGTCTGCTTTGTTCATAGTGTGTGCGTGAGCACGTGTGTAATTGGTACGTGCCTGCACATGTGTACGTGTCTGAGTGCATGTTTATGTGAGTTTGCGTGAGTGTATGCATATGCCTGAGTGTGTGTGTGAGCACATGTGTAATAGACATGTGCATGGACATGTATGTACCTTAGTGCGTGTGTGGGTGTGTCAGCACGTGTGCATGTGAGCGTGTGTAATAGGTGTGTGGGGGCATGTGCATGGGTCTGAGTGTGTATGTGTGCACGTGTGTGTGAGCGTGCATGCAGTAGGTTTCTGTATGGGTGTGTGAGTGCGTGTGTGTGTGTGTGTACAGGTGTGTGTAAGCATGTAACCACGTAATAGGTATGTTTGTGGATATGTGCATGTGTCTGTGCACGCGTGCGTGTGTAATAGGTGTGTGTGTGTACGTGTGCATAATAGGTTTGTGTGTGGATGTGCCTGTGTATTTGAGTTCGTGTGTGCATGAGTGTGTGCGTGTGAGCTCATGTGTCATAGGTATGTGCACGTGCCTGAGTGCGTTTGTGTGAATTCGTGTGGTGTGTGTGCATGCGTGTGTGTGTAATAGGTGTGTGTGCCCGAGCAGGAGTGCACAGGTGTGTGCTTGCCTGTGCACGTGTGTGCCGTGTGCTCTGGGCTATGTGTGTGTGCACGTGTATGTGCGTGTGTAATAGGTATGTGTGTGCTTGAGCGTGAGTGCGCATGTTTGTGCTTGCGTCTGCATGTGTGTACCGTGTACTTCGGCCTGGCTGTGTATGTGTGCACGTGCATGTGTGTGCGCTCCATCCTGGCAGTGGGTGTGTGCATGTGTGTGTGCATGTGTGCGTGTGTGTGTCATGTGCTCCGGCCTGGCTGTGGGTGTGTGCTGCAGCCTGGCTGTGGGTGTACGTGTGTGTGTGTGCGCACCGGCCTGGCTGTGTGTGCATGTGTGCGTGCGCACGTGTGTCTTGGCTTCCTTCCTGGGCTGTGAGGTCGCTGAGAGTCGGGGCCTTGTTCTCCGCACACTGGAACCCCTCCCGTTTCTCACAGATGCCTGGCCGTGGTGGGGCTGTGGTGGGGACCCACTTGGTCTTGCTGAGTGAGCTGTGATGACTCGCAGGGTGGCTCAGGTGTCAGGGGACAGCCTTGTCTGTGAGGACTCCAGCCCTGCTCAGATGAGGCAGCCCAACCCGTCGCCCAGCGCCCTGCTGTGGGAACCACCGTAGGGATGGCTCTGCCTAGGTGGGACCGAGGCCATGCGGGGCTTTAGGCGAGAGCCGAGATCTAACTCAGCGCAGGCTTCGGGTGGGAGAAGGGGCAGCTGGGTCCTCCTGGTGACTCACATCACGTGAGACGAAACCGTGCCCTGGCCTTTCCAGTCTTTCCTGCAGTTGCGCAACTGGACGGCCTCCCTGCTCTGCTCCGCAGCGGACCTCCCTGCCCACGGCTTTGGCAACCAGATCCCGCTGGTGGCCCGGGGGAACTGCACCTTCTATGAGAAAGTGAGGCTGGCCCAGGGCAGCGGAGCACGCGGGCTGCTCATCGTCAGCAGGGAGAGGCTGGTACGGCCCTGCGCCCCCACCGCCGAGCCAGCTCTCAGGGGCAGGAGGGGGGTGCAGGAGGCAGCAGCGGCAGGGGCTGGTCTTCTGATTTCTCGCCAAAGGCAGGCCCTCTGTGGGGAGGATCCGGGCTGAGTGTGGCTGTGGGGAGGATCCGGGCTGAGTGTGGCTGTGGAGAGGGCAGAGATGAGTCTGTTCTTTCTGTGCTGCTGGGCGGGGCTGTGGAACTTTGGCCGTGGTCTTGTTGGGTGCCTGTGCTAGAGCAGCCCCCGGGGTGAGGGAAACCACACTCTCCATAGGGATGGGATTGGGGTGTCTTCTGCGGAGCAGATGGCCTGGCCCTGAACTGGCCCCTTCTGGGGACCCTGGTGCCCTGGCTCTCGAGCCGGTGGGGCTGTGCTCACCTGTGTGGTCCTATCCAGGTGGCCTGAAGCCCAGCCCCTTTTCCATCTGCTGTGAAACGGGCTGTGGTTGAGAACTGGGGGCCTGGCAAGGCTGGTCACAGCAGGGGACACGCTGACTGCTGGGCTGGGCAGGGTGCACAGCGCCCCTGAAGTGTAGTTTTGGGGTAAGAAGAAAATGGAGTGCAGGAATTCCCTCACAGCCCTGCCCGTGGCTCTGGGCTGCCCCCGCCAGCGTTGCAGCCTGAGCCTGGCCACCTAGGGAGGCCTGGGGCAGGGTCTCAGGGCTGAGGCCAGAGCAGGCCGGGCAGAGCCGAGGGTGTCATCCCCGTCTGCACGTGCTGCCGTCGTCATTGAGAGAGGCCCTCAGTGGGTGCGGGGCTCAAGGTGGCCTAGTGGGCAGGCGTGGGCTGTGACAAGTGTCACTCAGGACGTGTGTGTGCGGTTAGGGAGTCCCACGGCTGAGGGAGGGATTGGCTGTCTTAGGCCCGGGGCCCTGTTGTCGGGTGAAGTCTTGATGCCCTTGGGCCTCCCTGTCCTTGGGTCTTCCTGGGAGGCCGGAGGCTGTCAGGTGCAGAGGGGGAGCAGACAGGCGCCCCCAGCCTGGCCTGAGCCTCGAGTGAGGGTCCCAGGAGAGGAGGCAATGGGCACAGAGCTGGGGGCCCACCCATTGCTGCGGGTGATGCCTGCCGCTCCCTCCTCTGGGCCCCCAGGTCCCCCCGGGGGGCAATAAGACGCAATATGATGAGATTGGCATTCCTGTGGCCCTGCTCAGCTACAAAGACACGTTGGACATCTTCAGGGTAGGTCCGCCGCTGCTCAGACGCGCGCTCCCGAGGAGATGGGGCGGGGGCTTCGGGCTGGCTGCCGGGGGGGTTTGTGCCGGGGTGGTGGGTGAGGCGTGGCCCCTGCAGGCCAGGGTCTCCAGCCCCAGCCCCATAGCCCACCGCTGCACGCCACCTGTGGCTGGCGGGTGGCTCTGATGCCTGCCCCTGGTGTGTTCCTTGAGGCAGCGTTTCGGCCGCATGGTGAGGGTGGCACTGTACGCGCCTCATGAGCCAGTGCTGGACTACAACATGGTCATCATCTTCATCATGGCCGTGGGCACTGTCGCCATCGGCGGCTACTGGGCCGGGAGTCGGGACGTGAAGAAGTGAGTTTTGCACCGTGCATGGGCTGTGATGGGTGGGCGGGTGGGCGGGCGGCTCTGACGCGGCCTGGGACGGCCAGTCTTCCCGTCCGGAACAGCAGTGAGCGCTTTGGCCTGGGCAGGCACGGCTCGCCCCGTGGAGCCCTTCCTTTCTTCCTCAGGAGGTCCTGGGACAGAATCAGGCTCTTTTCCTGCTGGGGTGGGCTCCGGGGACCCGGTGGGTGTGCGGGGCTGGGCAGGTGTGGATGTGGCAGGTACGGGCGTGGCAGGTGCAGGGCGGGCAGGTGGCTGGGGCTAGCTCCCCTCTCCTGCCCAGCCGCCCGGGTCTGGGAAGGCCCCATGTCCAGGGCTCTTTATGCAGAACCCGCACAGCAGCCTCTGGCCCGGCCTAGTGGCCGCCCCAGCTCAACCCAGGGACAGGAGCCCGGCCACCCTCTGCTGTGTGGTCTCCTCTGCCCTGGGGACGTTTGGGGCAGTTCCTTGCACTTCAGTCCCCCCCGGGTCCCCTCCTGCTCCTGGGTTTTCTGCCGCATTCCCCTGGGTGGCTGTGGACTCCTGGGCCCCGTGTAGGCCAGCCGGCCCCAGCGCCCCGTGACCCCATGGTGTCTCCCAAGAAGGTACATGAAGCACAAGCGCGACGACGGGCCTGAGAAGCAGGACGACGAGGCGGTGGACGTGACGCCAGTGATGACCTGCGTGTTCGTGGTGATGTGCTGCTCCATGCTGGTGCTGCTCTACTACTTCTATGACCTCCTCGGTGCGCGGCCCCGGGCGGGTGGGCCGCGGCGTGGAGATGCAGCCGGCCCTGAGGGAGGGAGGGTGGTGTGCGGGCCTGGCCCCTGGCCTCACGGCCCTGCCCCTGCAGTGTACGTGGTCATCGGGATCTTCTGCCTGGCCTCCGCCACCGGCCTGTACAGCTGCCTGGCGCCCTGTGTGCGGCGGCTGCCCTTCGGCAAGTGCAGGTGAGGCTGCCTCGCTGGCCCCGACGTGCCTGACTCTGTGCGGTGATGACCACGGCCCCTTTGCCGCCCCATAGCCCCCCATGGTGCAGTGTAGCTCAGAGTCTACGGCAGGCGCTTCCTCAGCGCTTGCCTGTGGTTCCAAGGCCCAGGAGCAGGGCAGAGTCCGGGCGAGCTATCAACGGAGCCCGCCAGCAGCCAGGCACCGGGGTGGCGGGGGGAGGGTGCTCTTGTCCCCAGAACCCTGCCCAGGAACGGAGTCCGCCAGCAGCCAGGCACCGGGGTGGCGGGGGGAGGGTGCTCTTGTCCCCAGAACCCTGCCCAGGTGGCAGGCTGGCCGGGGCATGGGAGGGCGCCAGGGTTCTCCAGGGAACCCAGAAGGTTTCCCACAGCGCAGAGCTGGGCCTGGCTCTTACGGGTAAAGGGAGCTCCGGGGCGTCTCCAGCAAGATCAGACCTGGGTCTAGGAAGCGGGGCTCGCCCAGGGGAGACCTTTGTGGGTTGCTGTCCCTGGGTGCGTCGGGTGAGGGGTGCAGCACAGGCGAGGGGGCTCTGTGGGTGCAGCCAGTGGCCCCCCAGCACCTGTCTGGGCCAGGCTCTGCCCTGCCCTTGGGGTGCCTACTGTTGTCATCGTGCGGGGATGTGGAGTTTAATAAGGAGGACAGAGTGGGGGCTGCCACTCTGGAGGGGGTTGCCTGGGTAGGGCCCGAGGGTGGTGGGCAGTGGGATGAGGCCGGGGGCTGGTGGGCTTGGCTCTGACTGCCCCGTGCCCCCCAGGATCCCCAACAACAGCCTGCCCTACTTCCACAAGCGCCCGCAGGCCCGCATGCTGCTCCTGGCGCTCTTCTGCGTGGCCGTCAGCGTAGTGTGGGGTGTCTTCCGCAATGAGGACCAGTAAGTGCTGCCTCCCCCGGGCCCCGGCGGGCGGTGGCATCCTCAGATGCTCCCTCCCACAGGGCTCCTGGGACCCTGACTCTCTGCCCTCCCTGGAGGCTGCCCCAGCCTGGAGCCGCTTCAGGACCATGTTATGAAAAGCCCTGGCCCCGGGCTGCCCTGATGGGGCCGTGGGGTCGTTTCACCTGGGTTTGTCCGGGTGCCATGGGAACCCTGACTGGAATCTGGGAGGAGAGGCCAGAGCCTCTGTGGCTGGGAGCCATGTCCTCCAGCAGGCCTGGATGGGACTCCTGTGCAGGGCATCACTGCCCAGAGCCAGTCTGTCCCCCGCTGTCCCCGTCTCTGGCACCAACGTGCGCACTGCAGGCCCGAGGACCAGGGTGTGGGCTCCAGGGCAGCCGATCCTCTTGGTCATGCCTGCCACGGCCTCTGAGCAGTGATGGAGGTGGGGCAGGCACTGCTCCCTCCTTGCTCAGCTCCCACGCGGCCTGGACTTGTGGCTGCCTCCTGCCGTCCGGGCCTCCTTGACGAGGCCGAGCGCCTGGCACTGTGTTGGGAGGACGGAGCTGGCCTGTCCCCGCCTGGCTCCCGCCACCGTCACTGATACTGTCTGGCGCTTCCTCTCGGCTTTTTCCCGAGGCAGCCAAGTACGCTTGGCTTTGGTATGTATTGGAGCCGCGGCACGTTTAACTGGCAGAAGGAAGACGTGAAAATATTTTGAATCCTTTGTACACAAAGGGAAAATGAATCCTTTCAGTTATTTCCAAGCCAGGAAACTCATTCCGTCACGTGAAGTTAGAGCAGGCCGCAGTCAGCTGGGCGCAGGGGCTCACGGCTGGGATCCCAACATTTGGGAGGCCAAGGCAGGACCATCACTTTACCCAGGAGTTCAAGACCAGCCTGGGCAACAAGCGAGAGCCCCTCTCTTATTTAAGAAATAACATAAAATCAGAAAAAATAACTGGCCACAGTTCTCTGGGTGCTTGTGGCGTGTGGCGCCTGGAATTGACTGTTCCAGCGTCTCCATGGAGGCCTCTGTTCTTAGCAGCCGCCCTGCCCGGGGGATGTTTTTATCCCATTTTCAAATGAACCTTTGATGTTTGAGACGCTGAGGAACGCTGGGCAGCTCGTCCAGCAAGTGGCAGGCAGAGCCTCGATGGGGGCAGGGGCCAGCGGGACGCTGGGGCTTCATGGGGCCGGGAGAGAGTCAAGGTTGCGGCTGGCTGCAGGGCTGTGGCCTTGTTCAGGAGGCGGTTCTGTGCTTTGCTCCAGGGCACCAACTGCATGGCAGCCCCACCCACTGTGGACCCAGAGGTTCTGCAAGGAAACTTGGTGTGGCACAAGTTTTACTTTAATAAACAGTTTGGGCGCGGTGGCTCGTGCCTGTAATCCCAGCACTTTGGGAGGCCAAGGCAGGCAGATCACTTGAGGTCAGGAGTTTGAGACCAACCTGGCCAACATGACAACCCCATCTCTACCAAAAATGCAAAAAAAATCTGCCTGGCATTGTGGTGGGCGCCTGTGATCCCAGCTCCTCAGGAGGCTGAAGCAGAATTGTTGAACCTGGAAAGCGGAGGCTGCAGTGAGTCAAGATCGTGCCACCAAACTCCAGCCTGGGCGACCGAGTGAGACTTCATCTCAAAAACAAAAACAGTTTGGAGGGGGTCAGTGCCCGAGCCCTCCTGCACATGCACCCTCTGCCTGGCCGCTGCCTCCAGCCTGGCACCCACCATCCGGGGACAGTGACTGAGGGGACGCAGCTGGCCAGGCCTGTGTCCACCGTCCTGGCTGCAGAGTGGTGGGCTCGTCTACCTGCTTCTGCAGGGGGGCCCTGGGGTGGGGCCTGTGCCGCCCGCCCTGCTGGAGTTGTAACAGCAGGGGTCCTCCCAGAGGTCTGGCGTCCTCAGGGTCGTCCCCTGGGCAGGTGGAAGTGCAGCAGGGCCGCCTGCTGGCTGAGAGCGAAGGCCCTGTGTGTGGCTCGTGGGAGGCGGCGTCCTGGGTGGTCAGCCGGCCTCCACCCCAGCAGGGGCGCTGCTGTGTCTTGCAGGTGGGCCTGGGTCCTCCAGGACGCCCTGGGCATCGCCTTCTGCCTCTACATGCTGAAGACCATCCGTCTGCCCACCTTCAAGGTGAGCGCGGGGAGGGTGCGGCTACGGGGCAGCGTGGGTGGCGGGGGGCCTTCCCCCCAGCCTGGCCCATGTGGGGCTGTGGTCCTTGCAGGTCTGTGCTCCTGCTCACTGCCCTGGCTACGGCCACCTAGGCCTGTTGTGAAGGGTGGGGCTTGAAGATTGGGTCCCAAAGCCCCTGCCGAGGCGGCCTGGGTGGGTGACTGCGGGGCGGTGGTCCCCCCGGCAGGGGCAACCTATTATGTCTGCATGAGGTGGTTGGGAAGAGCGGTGGGAATAGGCTGAAAGACTGCCCTCCCGTGGTGCCCGGAGCACGGGGTGCGTTCAAGCCCAGGCGGCACTCCGTGGGGCCCACGGGACCCAAGCCGAGCGGCCATTGATGCTTGGGACGGCCCTGGTAATCCCAGAGCCGGCCGGCATGTTCATGGGGCCTCCTCTGCTCCTTCCCTGTTACACGGAGACTCTGAAAGCCTAACTTTTGTACTAAATCCCGAACCCAGCTGAATGTTGCTTCCAGACGCTGCTCTCGCATGGTTGCGACCCAGCACCTGGCGC